AGAGTTTCGTGGACTCTCTTCCTGATATAGAACTTCTTTTTGTCTCTGATGTAATTTTGGAGGTAATATCTGATAAGGTATCCATAAAATCCATCTGGTAAGGGTAATATCTGGTATCAGTTTGGGGATCACTTCTGACAGGATCATAAGAGATTAAGGTGGTTTTGATGTGAAAGTATTTAATTTGAAATTTGATCACCTGGTTTCTAGTCTTGCCTTTTCCATAGACTCCCTTTGCATGCTGGGTAAGTCTTAAATTTTATGGATTTTTTGGTTCTGTATCTTTGAAATATAGGGTAATAATACTTTCTTACAATGCAAGCAATAATACTTGCTTACTTAATGCACTGTGTAAGCAGTAATATTTGCTCATGCAATGCTGTATTAAGGATGACTTCATATTTGTAAAACATTTTAATTCGAAGTTACTTGCCAAAATCCTTCAGGTCTAGTTAAGCTAAGCCTGCCTAGACTAGGTTATTTTACTTCGTGATAGTCAATTGCCAATTTACATGAGGGAGTCAATGCACTTGTAAAAGCCTGTAAAGACAGCCACCAGACATTTGTACCTTGATGTAAACCACAAATATTTATTTACCTCAAGGCTCATCCTGTTTTCATGCACATATCTATTATGAAAAAGCAACATTGATACAGTGTTTATGAAACTGTTCTAAGGTATCCTAGAAGTCTTCAATAATATTTTGTATTGCATCTAATGCTGTTTATTTTTAGAATATACTGTGAAGATAAGCAGACATACTTACAGGATTGTGAGGATGACGGGGAGACTGCTGCAGGTGGACGCCTCCTCCATCTCATGCAGGTTAAAAGGCAACAAACTTTGTCTTATCAGCTCCTGTACGTGTGTGAGGAGACTGTTCCGACACACTGGAAATCCAGTGCATCAGAACAAACTTGATTAATCAGGTCTTCTGGAACATGAAAATTGTGCTTCTAAGTCATGTATTAGTGTCACCACACTGAAAAATGGCAGTGGGATGCCTTTAAATAAAACACATTTGATAAGCTTTATTTCAGAGTGTCCTGCTGCCACTTTTTCAGCACGGGGATGCTGATACGTGTGATGTGAAGGTGCTTTTAATTAGTGTGGCTTGCTGCTTAAAATGCCTGGAGCATCATCTCACTGCATGTGTAAAAATGCCCTAGATAGTTTTACATTTCTCTTCAAAATCAGAAAAGTTTAACAAAATCGTCTTAATTCTTGCTGTGTACATAGCCTATCATATGAGAGTATTCTGTATATTACTTAGCTTTTCAAAGAAGTGAAACAGAAGAAAGTATAGAAACTTGGCCTTCCAGCTCTTGGGAATATAGACTTCACTTGTGTAGTGCCACAGATAAAGTAGGTTGTATTTCATATACAGTTTTGACAGCCTGTCTGTTTTTAAGAGAAGAATTGTATTGACTCCCTATTAAACTGACTCCCTATACCTTTTGTAGCACAAAAGAATCAAGGCAAAAGGCAAAGCAAGTATATAGGAAAGATGTTGGGCACCAGAGGACATCCTTATTTACAGGAGAAGTCAGTTGACTTAATTTCTCATTATGATTTTCTTGATAAAATAGGGACTTGTATCTAAAGCATGTGAGTAGCACTTTTAAATAAAGAAGATGGGGCTCCACCCTGAATTCTTAGCCTCATGTTCACACACATTAATTTTAGAAGTTCCCTCACAATAGGAACCGTTAATTTAATTTTTTTCATGTATTATTTCAGCATTTTAAAATGAAAACCAATAATGTTGCTTAAGCCTGTAATATACCATCATTTACACACATTTGCCCCTTTAACACACAGCCACACAGAGTACTCACAATTTTCTTGAAATGTTCACTTCTAGTTCAGCAGTTCTACCAGTCTCAGTAATCCCTAGTAATTCCCCCGCTTACATGGGATTATTTCATAAAATGCTTATTTTGTTGATCGTCACTTAAGTGACATTCCAGGACTTGTTTTAATGTTCTCCATTTTTTAATTTGGAAGTTTTTGAAACCTTCCTTGTTAGCTTGTGGCCAATCCTATTTTATGCAAAATATACAAGAAAGTACACTGGATATCAGTGTTTGTGTAATAAAGTATAGTCATGAAAATTAGTTTATGTAGACATTGTATTTAGTGATAGCTTGCTTACTCTGAGAGTTGTTTTGAACGTGTGCACATTCTTTGTCTGTAAACGGTGTGAATTTAGTTGCTCTTAAAAGTGCACCAGGGCTCTCAACATTTCACATATATCACACAATCAAGTGACATAAAGTGTGATTTCTCAAGATTCAGTGCCTATCAGCCATATGGTCAATAATGTTTAATCATAGTTACTGGAGAGTGTGTTTTGAAAGAATAATTCTGTATGGATCATAAAGCACAATACCCAAAGGTAAGGAAATATAGGAGTAGTAAACAGTCAAAGTTAGCTGCTCACTGAGTTCTCTTGATTTCCTTCTTAAAAACACTTAAAATTGATGATACTCACTGAAATATTATGCGAGTTAAACCACTTCTTCTGTTGCTATAGTTATTGCTTTTATATGAGATTTTATGGCATTTATAAGTATATCACTTTCAACATGTCCAATCTCTGTTTTTTTTAAAACGATGTGTCAAGAATTTAAACCATAAATTCTCTCTTAATTCTCTGATTTTCTTATCTCTGGCCTAAGGATACTCCACCCAACATTACAAAGGAGGTTAAATTAACCTCTGCCATTGGAGGAACTGAGGGAGGAGTATTAGTTCACAAATAGCTGTCCGTGGAAAAGAGGATTGACTGTATGCAGTTAAATATGCTCTAGTTCTTCCTTTTCACATTCTTTTGAATAAAGACAGTTTGCAGTAAATCGCCATCTAGACATTGCATCGTAAAAGCTACACAACAAAAAATGGGCATATTTCCTAATCACTGAAGGCCCACGTAGCCTCTTCTGCAATAGCATTCTTATCTTGTGTAAGATAAGCTAAGAACATTTCAATCAAGATAGCACTTTCCGGTTAAAGTTAAAACTGAGAATTCAAAAGTTATCTTGGTATCTGCTTGCTATGACAGTTTATTCTTGAATTCATAGCTGCTGTGAATGTGAATTTTGCAAAAACAGCCCCAAACAATCTTTTAAAGATAATTTCCTTAACTTTTCCTATATTGGAATATTTTAAGTATTCAATCTGATTATGTTTTTACAATTACATAAACAAGGACAAGTTTTCATGTCGTACATACTTATCTGGCCTAAGGATGCCTGAGCCGCTGAACATGTAATTATACTGGCTTACTTGTGGGTCCATTTGTTATACAGCTTCAAATTTTATACCTAAAGTTACAGTAGTGTTACTCCATTGAAGTTCATGAATACGTCAGAAAATAATTTAGTCCAATAAATTAATCATTACCTATGGTTTGTGCTTTGAATCTTCAAAGAAGTTCAGGGAAAGATTTTCAAAAGGACCTAAGGGGGTTAGGCACTAAATCTTACCAACATTCAATGAAAGTTAGGCACATAACTTTCTCAGGAAAGAGTATTTTGTATTTCACCTAGACTTCTTATGTATGTTTACTCCTGGTTTTTAAGTGTATTTTTATTTCAAAATCTAAACATTTTAGGAAATTGTAGCTGGAAATAGCAAGCATGATTGTCTTATACAAGTACATTTGCATAAGATTTAACCATAGTGAAAATTAGCCTCCTGCAAAACGTTGTCCTTATACAGAATTAAAAAGAATCCCAATGAGCTAATTACAGGTGCAGCTCCACCTGTTGAACCCAAACTGAAAATTAATCAATTCTTGTAGAAGCGATTTAGCATTTCCAGGAGTTATTTAAATCAAGAAACATTTCTTTTGACATGTTCCTGATATTTATTCTTAAGGATGTCTGAGGAATAAATGAAATTGTATACAAGCAAATGGAAATGTGTAAAATTTATACAAACTGGTGGGTTAGTTTTTTTTTTTCCTGAGAATACATTCATTCGTACCTGTCAGCATTTGAAAGTGATAAAAAGAGATTGGGGAGAAATAATGGGGCTGTGAAATGCTTAGGGGCGGCTAACAGAGAACAGGGGAGTAAAGAGAGCAAAAGAGGTAGGAAATAGGCAAGAACTGGCATTGCAATGAATGATAGTTTTCTCTGTCTAGGGGAGACAGGGTTTCTGTTTTCCAGCAAAATATTGACTATCAAAGGGCAGGGTGGGGGGAAATCTGTTTGAAGGAGGAACTGGCATAATATTTAGAATACCAGAAGGGGTAGATGATGCAGTTTTCCAGTCAGTATTCATGCACAAGGAATTGGGTGCAATGAAAAATAAAACTTCCAGAGAATTTTCTGTGCTTTTCATTTTACAACCCAGTGCAATATTAAATCAAGATTTTTTTTGTTTCAATTTTACTCCTGTTTTTTTTAAAAAAGGTCTCAAGTTCACTATGTAATTGTACTTAAAGCTGAAAGCATCTTTCATAAATGCATAGAACTTTGTATACCATACTCTACCATACATTTTAATGAATACATACATTTTGAAAGACTCTTTACAATTAGTTCAGTGTGGGAAGGGAACTTATTTCAAAACTGAAGACCTCTTTGCCATTTAGGTCTCCTCCTAAGTGCTATTGTAGCAGTAAGCTAGACCCTGAGCATTAAAAGAGCATTCCCAAGGGCTCTGCTTTATCCATATGTTCCCAGGCTGCTGATTTCAGCAGTCTTCAGAACACTGGCCCAAGATGTTACCTCTAATATTTTGGGGCACAGTTAAGAATATGGATACACAGTGTATTCATGCGGCAGGGATTCAGACTACAATACAAAGAACATGTATTTAAAAACAATAAATGTGATTTGATAAAAATCCCTTTAAAATATCTGAATTTCTTTGGGGAAAGAAATGTTTCAATGTACAATACTCTAGTTTTACTGTTGATACATAAACTTTTTTTTTTATACAGATTTTGAATGTCCGTAATGTTTTGGTTGTGGTATCCCGCTGGTATGGAGGAATCCTGTTAGGACCAGATCGTTTTAAACATATCAACAATTGTGCCAGAAATATACTAGTGGAATACAACTATACAAATTCAGCTGTGAGTTTTGACTGATAGACCAATGGTGTTGATTTTTCAATCTGTGTAAATTGCCATATGCAGTTGCAATCCCTGGAGCTATGAAAATATGCATTACTTGAGGATATTTCCTGGGGTTGGAGTGTTGTTGTGGCTGTTATGATTGAGGAAATGTATGCAAAGGTGTGTGTGTATGTGGGGTTTTTTTTTTTTTGTTTTGTTTTTTTAAAATGATACTCTTTATAGAATCAACTACAGTTGGGGCAGATATTTGACACTATTTTGGGATCCAAAGCACCGTTCTTCAGGTCATATTGTATATGTTCAGTATCCTTCATGCTACGGTAGGATTGGAGGGTTGTTGTAGCTGTGATAGTCCAGGAAAAATATTTGGGGAAAGGGTTTTTTGTGATGTCTTTTATTTTAGTTGGGAGAAGCTGGGTCCTGAGATCTCAAAACAATGCTTTGTATCTGAGAGCTTGGCAAGTACCTCTCCCAGCTGCGCAGTTGATTTAGTAAAGGGTATCACAAAAGAAGCCCCATGATGATCTCTCCTATGGTTATCTAGAGGCATGGTTGATAGTAGAATGGTAATAAAAGTTTCTTTAGAATTTTATTTCTGTATTATCATTCTATGGGTTTCTGCTGGTTTCTAACTTTTTTTTTGGTATTTTCTCTTGGATTTGTAAAGATCACTTTTGACCACAGCAATAATAATAATTTGAGGTAAACTATTAACTGTAAAATTTAAATAAATGCTAATACTTGAATGGCTTATCTGCAAAATATGTAGTGTTGCCATCCTCACATTAAAGTCCATTCCTTCATAACCAAATTTGTGATGGATAGTGTTATGAGAGACACCGTCGGGTGACAAGTAGATTAAATGAGGGAAAAAGCCTTTTTCTTTTATTCACTGCTAGTAAGGACTAGGCAAGTGTTCTTATCCCATTTAAGTCTACAGAAATGTTGACATTAACTTCAAAGAGATTGGAGTTTGGTCTGATAGCAGCAATTGTTTCAACATGTTACTTGTTTTAATAAGCTTGTATCTAAGGTATTTTTCAATTTGATGTTTTTCAGAAATGATAGAATGTATTTTGTGCTGCTTGTACAATTCAAATGTTTGTGATTTGTTAAACAGAAAGTAGCTCTCAGAATTACTGTGGACTATAGTTCATTATTTTAGCTACAGGAAACATTACAATATATAAATAGTAATACCAAACATTTTCCTTGTTCAAATAGACTAGAAGAGTTAATACCAATAACCGTACACTCTTAAGATAAGTTTTTAAATGGGATCCAGCTGACTTACGGGTATACATCTTAAATTGACTTTCATGGAGATTTAAAATCCACCTAAATCACTTAGCAAAATTTTGGAAATTTCATAAATTGTGTATAATTTTAAGGGATTGTATAATATAGACATCGATACTTTTACAAGTTATTACCAAGTCACCTGGCAGTGTTGTCTGCAAGTCTAGTGCAGAACTATATTCCTTTTCCAGTGAGCTTGAGGAACTGCTCGCTAGGGCCATGCGAAATGGGCCCTATTCTATTCAGATTTGGATATGGCCCAAATTGGGGGCAGTGATTCAGTCCGTTGATTTGGATCACTGTCCCTGATTCGATTTGGTGAATCTGAAGATTCGATGCTGATTTGGCGATTTGGACACAGACACAGCTTTACAAGTTATTTTCTACATACCTTGAGGTAGCAGGTGCAGCTGGGATTGCTGCAGTGCTGGGGCACATGGAGCATCCTACAGGAGCACAGGGGGGCTTTCCAGCGTGGTTGGCAACAAACCCGGAAGTGGACCAGAAGTATTTCTGGTTCACCTCTGGGTCTGCCAGGGAGTGCACTGGGGTGTCCCCCCACTCCCCTGGCTCGGCAGTTGGCCACAGGGAGACCCTGGGTGCCACCCCTGACCCAGGAGGCACCAGTTGCTGAGCCGGGGTGGGGCATGGGGGCCCCCCCGCGCGCTCCCTGGTGGATCAGGAAGTGTACTGGAAGTGCTTCTGGTCCACTTCGGGGTCTGCTGCCAAACACGCTGAGGACCCCCTGTGCTCCTGTGGGACACTGCATCTGCCCCACCTCCGCAGCGTTCAGAGCCCCTGCTACCTAGAGGTATGTAGAAAAAACATTTAAAGCTGTATCTACATCGGAATCTCTGAATCTGTTCTAATCTCTTCAAATCGATTTGGAGAGATTAAAGGGTCCTCTGATTTGATTTGGATTTGGAGATTTGGCCACCTAACCGGGCCGAATCTCCACCGAATTGAATCAGGAACCATAGTTTCTCACAGCCCTACTGCTCACTCCTGCTTTTGACGAAACTGCTACAGTTTTAAGCTTGTATGGTTCTATGAGGCCTTCCAGAGTAGTGTATCAGTTTGGGGATCACTTTTGACAGGGTAATAAGAGATTATGGTGGTTTTGATGTGAAAGTATTTAATTTGAAATGTGGTCACCTGGTTTCTAGTCTTGCCTCTTCCATAGACTCCCTTTTTAATGCTGGGTAAGCCTCTTAAATTTTATGGATTTTTTGGTTCTGTATCTGTGAAATATAGGATGATAATAGTACTTTCTCACAATGCAAGCAATAGTACTTGCTTACTTAATGCACTGTGTAAGCAGTAATATTTGTTCATGCTATGCTGTATTAAGGATGACTAGATATTTGTAAAACATTTTAATTAGAAGTTACTTGTCAGTATAGATTATCTAGAGAGGTTGTGGCACCTCTGTCACTGGAAGTTTTAAAATGTAGATTAGACAAATATTTGGGATGATTTGGACACTGATGGGCCTGCTTCAAGTAGGGATAGTACTAGATGGCCTTTTGAGATGCCTTCAGCCATATTTTTCTATGATTTTTAGGATTATATTCTCTTCTGTTTTGCCCCAGATAACTCACATATGCAGATGTCAGGTCTCATACCTGCAACACTTCACCATTCATGCTATTTTTACTGTCCTTAATGTTTTTGGGGTTTTTTTGTTTCTCCTTATACAATAAAATGTAATATATGTACACAATTATCATTTGTAAAAAGTTAGAGTAATTTAAAGCTAATTATGTAAAGAAATACTTCAAAAATACACTTCTGTCTGAAAATATTTTTGTATTTTAATGCAAAAATATCTAAGATTGGAAAAGGACGAATTCCCCTTTTCTTCATTTGACAGCATTTTGTACTTTTTTCACTTTCTTGTTCCTGTCAGTTGATTAGCTTCCTCTTTTGTTTGAGGGGAGGGTTCTTGCTTTTCAAATAAGCACTAAAACTATTAATAGGTTATTTTATAATTCTCTCTGACTCTTGGAAAAGTTTTCCCTTTTTGCTAACTTTCTTAATTGTAGTAAGAATGCAACCATACATTTCAGTGTGGTCCAAGAGTTGATCTTTCTGATTTTTCAAGCTAGTTTCCAGTTAGAAGTCAGATATTTGTAAATCATCATAAAACATCAGAATTTCATGACAGTAAGAAGACAACAGGTTATTGTATCATATGTAAATGTGTTTAGTATTTATTGCATACCTAAAAATGGATGGCCCTGCACTGTGGCTGGCACCTGAACACTATGTTGATTTGAATAGAGAGCCATTAGAAGCATACATATGAATACTGTATTTACCAGACTTTAAGGTAAAATTAAGGAAAAATTATAAATTTATGAAAAGGTCATAATTTTTCAGGTATAGAATTTTATTATAGGAGGGTTATCTTAAATGTATCTGCTGCTACTGCTACAGTGTAAAAGCAGTGGCAGGGAGCAGGCAGCTGGGAGGGTCTGGTGGCTGAGGGACTAGGTGGCCCCCTTGCCCTCTGACCTAACCCACATCCCAGCTCTTCTTCTGTATGCAGGATGCACCCTGCACCTGTGGTGACTGCACTCCCTGCTGCCTGTCTACCTCGTGCCTGCCCCTGCAGCCCTGCCCTGGTTCCTGTCTCCTGTGGTCTTTGTCCCTCACCCTCCCACAACTTTTGTTCCCCTGCTTTGCGGAGCCTCTGCCACTTCCCCACCCCTGTACCCCACAGCCTCTGCCTGCTTCTCCCCTCTCTTACTGACAGATACAGTTGCAGCTCCATTCCTTCCCAGGGCACCGAGCATATGGGAGTGTGGCCCCTGCCCAGCCATACAGCTATGTTCTAGGGCTGGGGCTGGAGCTGTGCTGGTGGTGATTGACTGGGCAGGGTTTTCCATGTGCTCCATGCCCTGGGAATGACTGGAGCTGGAGCCATGCCTGACAGTAACTGGGAGAAAGGCGCAGAGGCTGTGGTGGCAGATGATGTAGGGGGTGGGGCAGAGGGCTCAGGGGCAGGCAGAGCTGGGGGAAGATGGTTGCTGTGGCTCTGACTGTCTGAGTCAGGTTTGGAGTTGAAGTCAGAGCTGGAGCAGCTGCCTTCCCCTCCCACCTCTGCCCTGTACTCAGATTCAAGAGGAGGGGCATTTTCCCCCATGCTAAATGGGGGGGGGAATCTTATCTTGGTTTTGAGAAAATAGAGTCATTGTTGGAGGAGGTGGCATCTTTTTAATGATTAATGTTAAACTGGGGTGAGCGACTGCAGACTACTCATCAGTCTCTCCAATGAAATATAAATCTGTGGGTGAGTCTGTGAGATATGGCCCCTTGCAAACTTTATATCTGCTAAGAGCCCTGCTGGAAGCCAGAGCTCTGACCCCCTTCCCTCATCCACACTAGTTGTAAGAGATGAGGTAAGGCAAGACTTGAGTTATGTGAGACATAGGTGCCTGGGAGATGTTATTTTAAATTTGTTGGGATTTTATTCTGGATCTCCAAAATGGTACATCTTGCTGTGCCAGGTGTTCAGGATGTGGGATAAATCCCAATTCATGTCTGCTGGTACTTTGGAAACCCAGTACCAGGCAGCAGCTCCCAGCTGCACGTGCACCTTTTAAAAGTGCGTGGGGAGCCTAAGATTAGGCAGCCATTTCCCACATGCTGGCACATTCAGAGAGAACTTAAAGGGAGTGCCTAGTCAGCCCAGC